TAGAGAAACCCTTTGAAATTCTCTGTATACAGTCCAGTCATTTTCTGTGTCCAATATATGGTTCTCTCCCAATGTTACAGAGGTTCTCAGAAACAAAATTCTCTTTACAAAATTTGTGTGTGAATATTTTGGTATTTTCAGAGTAGTACAGATGAAGAACTTGGCTGAGCCAAATGTGCTGAACATGGAAAATGTCAAAATGAGTTCCAAAAATCTCAGGTTGTTTAAGATCTAAAAGAAGATCATGGATTCTAGCAAATTATAAGTGTAAAGCAATTTCGGATCTTTTTTTTCAGAATATATAAACTGTACAATTTAAAGTATTTTAGCTCAGATATATAATTCATATACTGGTACCATTGCAATGCAACCGTAATATGTTGCTGGACTATGGTCCAATTGCAAAGCAGTTGAATTCATACACAACGTCAATTGGCATGTTTTCTACATGGCATTTGATGTTTCATGTCTCTTCACAGGTCAAATTTTGCAGCAAAGGTCAAATTGTGAGTTGACCTCTTAACAAATTCTACCTGCTTCAAATTGTGGGAGGTCGAATTGTGAGGTACCAACTGTACATAAAAGGCACATACTGAATTTGAAGCTTTTTGCTCATCCACAGGATAATAAAAAAAATGTCACCCAGAAATATTTGAAATTTGAGTTTCCCAGAACAATTTCCTCTTCTCAGGTGACAAACAATGAATTGATTATTTGATTTTCTCTGAGGAAAAATAAAATACAGTCAACCCCTGTCTAACGGACTTGATTTGTGCAAGGGGCAAGTCTGTTAGACAAAAAGTCCTTTACACAAATGTTCTGGGTACAGTACATTGTTTGGTGGATTTTGTCTGTTGGGCGGGAGGAAAAACTGCTTGCAGAGCTGGTCTATTCAGCAAAAATCCCTTACACGGGAGGTCTGTTAGGCGGGGAACCACTGTACTGTACCCAGAACATTTAACAATTTAAAATTCAAGTTTAAAATACAAACTTCAATTGTATCTGTGCCCTAAAGATGCTACAGCTACACACAAAGAATTAAATGCTTATTCCTGTAATCAAGATGAGTAAACACAATAATAGGCCATTATTTTTCAGAGCATTGGGCCTCAGGATTAACATTTCATTGCACAAAAGAAAAAATACCTATAAGACCACACACACAATTGAAGACTGCACAAAGATTTCAAAGTGCTGGAATAATAAGATACCAAGCAAGACACAAAGCTCTGGAATTTTTCCAAACCAGTACAGTGACCTCTTCTTTTTTGAAAAGCTTTTCATAGTTGTTGGTGGATTTTTAGAACTGGTTCTCAACCAGTTCTTGGATCCCAGTGTCCTGAAGGTCGTTTCACTGGCGGGTTACGTGTTGAAATATCCGTAGACTGTGTATTCGAATATTTGCCGGCAAAATTGGTACTGTTTCATGCCTAATTCTAGGTCTGTCTCGAGATGCGACATCTATGTATACAGTAGTTGACACATGGGAATTTCAAATTTTCCTTGTAGAGAATAAAAGGGTGATATATTGTCCAGCAATAAGCAGCAGATATTATATGTACAGACAAAGACGCGAAAGAAGGATGAATATTTAACGAGAGAGAAAATAGAAAAAATCAGAACGGCAGGTGTCGCTGCTGCGCCGGCACAAGGAACGGATCCAGAGGTCGCACCTTGACCCGGGCCGGCGGCGCTTCCACGCGTCCGAAAAGGTCGCCGCCAGCGTGCAGCAAGTCCGCCAAAGGATCTTGAACCAGGTCACGTTGCCCCATTTGCATTCTCACTGCGGATTCCAGGTCGGGGGAACCCGGGCCACGCAGTTGCAAAACGACCAGAGGGCGTCGGAAGTAGTCCACTGTCGTGGTTTTCGGGTTATTCTTGTTGTTATTGTAGTACCTCTCCTGCTGGGCCTTGTAGGCGGCGGTCGTTGTGACGGACGCCCTTTTCGTCGTCGTTGTCGACTTGGGCTTCTTTCTTCGTCTGGCGTCCACTGTTGACCACACTATACTCAAAATACAAGAGGAGCGATTTGAAAAAAAATAAATCCTGAGAATATAAAACAAACTTTGAAAATCAAATTAAATTGAAAAAAAATACAGTTTCGAATTAAAATAACGTTTGAAAATTAAACAAAGTTCGAAATTAAAATAAACTTCATAAACAAAATAAAATCTGAAAATTAGATAAAGTTTGACAATTGAATAAAATTTAAAAATAAAAATAAAATTAAAAATTACATAAAAATGTAAAAATAAATTCAGATTTAAAATGTATTTTTAATAAAAAGGGACAAGTAAATAATTGGAAGGACTTACTTGAATTTTAGAATGAATTGTAAATAAAATTACAGCTTGAAAATGGAAGTTATGTTTGAGAATAAAGAGACAGTTTGAGAATGAAGAGTCAGTTTTAAATTGTAAATAAATTTCTAAAATTTTACTTGAATGAATTGCTGACTTTCTGCACCATTACTAAAATACCTGATGATGTGGCATGACTAAGTTGAAGCATTTATTTGTATGCTTCAGAGAAGCATACTCTCAGACATTCTTTTCTAACTTGGATATGAAAAATTGGATGAAAGTTTCTTTAAAATTACAATCATAAAAGATGAATATTTACAGTTGAAACCTGAGGAATTTTTCCAACTGAAGATACTTTTTCTCCTCAGAAAGATGTTTGGTTGAAAATCATACACTTTTTTTAATTAAAATTGTTTAATAATGCATAGGCAACATATTTCTCCTGAAAATTTCCACATGTTGCAATTAATTAGCAGTACAGTGGCCCCCCACCTAACAGACCTCCCGTGTAAGGGATTTTTGCCAAACAGACCAGCTCAGCAAGCAGTTTTTCCTCCCACCCAACAGACAAAATCCACCAAATTAAAGGACTTTTTGTCTAACAGACTCGTCCCTTGCACAAATCAAGTCCGTTAGACGGGGGTTGACTGTATTTATATGTGGATTATGTATACTTTCCAAGATCAGGATGTGAAATACAGTTCACATATTGATGAACTTCCTGTGACATTCTTGAGAAAAAAACTTGAATTGTATCCTTTTGTAAGTCCAAGTCATTAATTGGGTAAAGGCTGAAGATTACAAATTTGTCATGCCACTGAATTGAGAAACACATCAATATTCAAATATTGATGATGAACGGTTTTGGGCATCAGCAGCAGGAACTTTGTATCTTGAAAGAATCATATAATCATGTTTACAGCTGAAAGGTTGCACCTCAAAATATAAGTTGAATGTAATACTTTGACAATGAAAACTGCACAGAAACCATCTCTTTAAGGCCACCCCACCCCCACCACTTACTCATGCTGAACAGCAAAAACAGGAAGAAACACAGCTTGAGGTTCTTTGCCATGGCTTCAACACCCTGGTCTCACACACCCTGGTGTAGATGCACTGAATGACAACTGCAAAACCAACCTGATAACACTTCCAATATTGTGCCCTCTCAAGGTATACCTAACTGTCATCTGAATGTTTGAACAAGGAGGCAGCAAAATGGGGGTGGGGGTGATGGTTTAGAGAACATTATATTTTTCTTGCATTTTATTCCTCACCTCTTGATGATGTTCTTATCATGGTTCCCACAAGATAAGAAGAAACCCTTTTCTTTTCCCATCATATATATGACCAAACAGAAGTCTGACATCTTCTCCATTTATTTCCAGCAGTCAAGTGCATACACCACAAGTTGGGCTTGGCATTTATGCCATCAGCAAGGATATACAAAGCTTTCAAATGCGACTGACGCTGATGGGTCTCAAAAGTTTGACAGGGATCACCCCAGGGATCCTTTGTGCACTGTGCATTCCATACATAGATGGAGCCACTGGGAACATTGGTTGTTGAAAATTAGAGATAGCAGGAGCAGCTTGTGCAGCCATATCATTGAATATTTCTGCTGCTGGGAACATTGGATCCTGGGCATTTTGTCCAGCAATAGCACTTGGGGTTTCAAATAGAGGGTCAGGTCCCATGGTAGCCCCTAAATAAGTAGAAAATTCAGGATGAACACACAATTTCAAAAAATGCTCAAAGCATCATATTTTCATTTGCAACCAAATTTAACTTATTCATTTTGCTTGGAACTAATTTTGAGTCCTATGAACTCAAAAAAAAGCTGATTGCTTTCTTTAAAAAAAAACTGAAAATCAGTGAAGCTGAAAATACTTGTTTTCAGGTCAAAAGGGTCTTTTATGCAATACAGAACATTATTTCACCTTACAAGTCAAGATTTGTTGAGGCATTTTCAATTAAATCTGATACATAAAATGTATTTCTATTATTTTGTATCAAGTTTCAGCTTTTTCATAGTTGAGGATATATCCAAAAATATGACCTAAGTTTGCGTATCACCAATATAAAGAACCAGGCTCAATTTTTTTTAAAGCAAAGATGTTTGTTGGAAATGTGGATCTCTGTAATGAGAAGAGACTCTTATAACTATAAGAAACCACAAATGCTGATGGAAAATTTGCTTAAGTTGGTATGACTAACATGATTAACTGTACAAATTATCATAAATGAGCCATGCTCTAAATTAGGCAACATATTCTCAAGTCATCCACTTTATTATTCTGGTGGCAAGGGTTCAAATTTTATTTCTAAAATGTGTGCTTATACCAAAGCAGGTAGTAAATAGTGACCTCTGTAGTTGAACATTGGTCCAGAGAAAGACCTTTCTCCATACCCTCCTTGCTGATGGTTGCCTCTCATAGACAGTACCACCAATGGTCTCTTGAAGTATTTTGCATCACTGTCTGGAGACCTGGGGACTCTTTTCCTGTCTCTCCTCACATCCACTGAAACAGATCCACAATATATTAAAAGATCAATCAGTATACCAAAAAAGGGCCTGAAAAAGTATGATTTGAAAACCTCACTTCCCAGTACAGCTACCAGGAGAGCAGCAACCACAACCAACCTCATCATGATCCACATATTTCTGTTCAACTGGAAAAAACCAGAAAACTCCCATCCCCACCATTGCAGAATCATCTTGATAAGAAAAATATTATTCCTGGATTCCATCACTTGTTATCACACTAATTGATAAACCCAGCTGGAGCTTCACTGTTCCACTGTGATGATACAGTATGGAGAGAAAAAAAATAATCTGCCAGTTCTCTGAAGAGCAGAAAGAAAGTTTGCATAAATTTGTTTTTGTTGACATATTTCTCCCACAATGTTTGGCTATTGACAAATGATTAATCAGCCCACAGCCTTTTTCCTTCAGACTCCTCCTTGACATACATTTCAAAGTATTGCTGAATTGTGGTCACAGCCAGCATGAGCCCTGTACCAGTCCCAATGGCACCCAGGAAATCAGCAGCCACTGTCAGGGCACCAATACACACCCCTCCTGATATGGCAGCATTTGGGATGTACCTGAAAATTAAAAAAAAAGGAACATATACATCTCAAAACATACATTGGCAGAGCAAAAGGGGTATGTGTCAGGGGTCCTTAGACTCCAGACAAAGATATTAGGTTCAGTGAAATAATGACACTGGCAATCGGCCATTTGCGGCCTGAGGTAGAATCCTCAACTTTGATGATATATTTCCAAAGGATAAAATGTCCAACACAGAAGACAAGCTTTCTCTAAGTGATGTTTGCATGCACACTTCAGGAACAGGAGTGATGGCCATGATGAGGTTTTAGGTTCAGGTTCAGGTCCATTCTAATGGAAATGAACCTGAAGGCCAGTTTCTTGGAGCTGTGTCTTGTGTTTCATGAGAATCCTTTTGATGAGGATTACTCATGATTTTTAATAACAATTTTGGAATTATTCCATGAAGGTTTCATAACTTCATAGAATATTCTGATTTATGTAACTTTTGTTCTTGTGGGTTCCCATTAACTCTGGTTGCTTCTAAGCAACATGGTGCGGCCATGAGCAACATCTAGTCATTTCACGGTGCAATCTTGTTTAATCTGGGTGACATCTAGTTGACCCACAACAGTATGCACAAATTTGGTTTCATTATAAGTCAAATAATTTTATACAGCAAAAGAAATGAACCTTTCAAGCTCATGAACCATGGACTTGACCCTGTGTCCACAAAGGACCATTTTTCTCTCCTTCAGTTGACGTGCAACTTGCTTTGGTCCGGTACCTGAGAAGTCCACCCAGAGTCTGGACAGTACAGCACAGAGGAACAGAGATGCAAACACATAGACTATGGCATGTAAAGGGTCTGCTAGAACATGGTCCCAGTCCTTTGGAGGGCATAGGTAGTAGCAGAGACCTCCTATAGGCAAGAACCTTGATGTTCCAGCCCATTCAGTTGACCCCCAGACCCCCACCAGGTTCACCAGAAAGTTGCCACCATATCTTGAACTCAAGATCTGGGACATGATGTAAATGTTGGAGACCATTGCAGACTATGACAAAATACAACTTCTTCAACATTCATATTTGAGGATAATCAGAAAAAAAATTTGAATGTTGATTTGCATACTTGCAAAATTACTGGCATATTGTTGGTGTAAAACAGCTTGATGGGAACATTTGCTGGATTTCCAGTGACAGCAGACTTGACAGGCAAGTCAACCTTGAACCCATTGAGATACACCACAGCAAGAACAATGACCAGGGTGGCCAAGAGGCTCATGACATTGGGCAAGTTTTGTCTGTACAGGGCCTCTTGCAACCCTTTGACCTTGTCTTTCCTGGTTGTGACCAAATAGACCAAAGCAACCAGTGCCCCTTCAAACTCCAAACCTTTCCCTGTGTGCACTGTGGCAGGACTCAAGGCCTTCCACACTATATTCTCACAGACTGTGGAAGTGACAAATAATGAGATCCCTGATCCAAGTCCATAGCCCTTGGTGAGTACTTCATCAAGGAGCAAAACAATCATGCCCCCCATGTACAACTGGATCACCAAAATTGCACTAGTGCCAAGGCCCATTTCTTGTGGATTTCCATACATTCCTGGAGAAATTTTAAATTGAATTAGGATTGATTTCAGTGACTGCACTTACATATGAAAATCAAAGTCTTCAGTAACTCCATGGTGCAAGAAATACAGGTACCTTGCAATTTTACCACACCTCAATTTACAACACCCCAATTTGCATATCCCTCCATTCAATGGTCCAATTTTCAGGGAGGTTGACTTGCAATTTTAATTCTGCCCACAATTTGACCCATGGAGAGCCACAAAAATGTCAAATACATCAGTAAAATGTAGAAAACATCATATTTGACATTGCTTTGCAATTTGACCACTTCACAATGCAACCCTAGCCCAGCAATGGATTAGAGTAAGATTGCAGGGCACCATCTTTACTCTACATTATGTATGCTACATAAATTCTTTTTTACATGTATAAGACTTTGAAAAATCAAGTTTCACTCTCTTGCTAACACAAATTTTTTAAGTTGCTGGATGATGTGTCATGCTGCATTAGATCAGGTTAGGAAGTTATGTTAACTCACAAATTGGGTAATATAGTTTACAGATTAAGGGCTGAATAAGCTTAATTACCTTTGGTTTTTGGCTGGTTTCTGTAAGAGATTTTAACCTTGCTTCCAGATCAAGTTTTGAACAAGATCAATAAATATTTCAGGTAATTACATTATGACTCATTTTAGTTACCATATACTCACATAAGTGTCACATTCACCCAATTTTTCTCAAAATTGAGAGGAAATAAGTTGGGCACGTGGTGTGCATTACATGAAAATCCAGAAGCAATAAGTCTTATATACTGAAGCTGGGTGCTGTGTGGTATATCATACTGGATTTCATTAATGTTGTACAAAATTTATATGATTGTTGTTTCTGGGATCAATAACCACATTTTTCAATCTTTTTGGCCACAAAAGATTGAAAATTTTGATCAGCAGGTTGCAGATCTTATTGTACACTTCACTTTTATGTTGTGTGTAACTTCTTAGTACTGGATGCTGCCTTGTAAATTTAATATCAGATGATGAGAATGTATAAGTGTGATGAATGTTCCAGTCTTATCTTGCATCAACAGTTTTATCACTGATTGATTTTGAGGTGCCATATAGAGACATTTTCCAATCTCATCTGCAAGAACCCAAAAGAGCCAACCTGTGGCAACATACACCACAGCTTGACCAATGATCAGGACCACAGCAAACAGCTTTTGGGCAGCATTGAACAAGATCCTGTCTCTGGCAGTAGACCCCACCTCCAAAGCACCCCCAACTGCAAGGACCTGAAGAATGCATGAAGAAGTGAGGATTGGGGAAGTGCCCAGCTCCATCAGGGTGCCTCTATTGGAGGCCAGCATGGCCCTGATCCAGTAAAAGGGGTCAGCAGACTCTGAGCTCATGATTCCATAAAGAGGGATCTGACAGCACACCAAGTAGATCAACAATGCAACACTTGTCCACAGCAGTTTCTCAGAGAATCTGATCCTTCTCTGAGGTGAGCTGATTTCTGGGATCAAGCAGCAGATTGGATGGAGGACCTCCAATGGGTTCATCTTGTGCATGGGCTAACAAGAGCAATTTATGGATCCACAATTACTTCCTTGTAAAAAAAAATACATTCCAATCATGGATTTCTAAAGAATCAGGAAGCTGGACAACCACTGCAGCCATCACATATTCATCCAATAATCAGCAGAAGGCACAGTAAAAATAAGTTTTGAAAACATAAAAAATTATGCTCTAAATATGAACTGAAAAGACTTTTTAAACAATAGATCATTTCTATTTTGGTGGATTTAAGTTTTTCCAGGAGTATTCAAGGTTTTTATTATTCCAGCTTTTGACAGAGAATCAATGAGCTGAGCCAAGTCTGAGTTGATTCATCACATTAAAAATCTAACCAAATCCATTAATACAAATGCTGCCCTGCATTTTGACCTTAATATACATTGCTGGGTAATGGATGAATTGAAAAGTGGTTGAATTGCAAGACAATGTAAAATATGATGTTTTCTGCATCAAATTTGACATTTTGAGTCTCTCTTCTGGTCAAATTGCAGGGAAAGAGGTCAAATTGCAAGTTGATGACCCAGCAGATTCAACTGTCAAATTGCAGGATGGTCAAATTTTGGGACATCAAATTGCAAGTTACCACCTGTACCTTTGAAATAAAAAGCTTCCCCATCTGTGAAGTTGGAAAATGTAAAATTCAAAATATGGAAGGTATTTCTGAATTTTTAATGCACAACATGTAATCCACAAACATTTTAATGCTGAATTTTTAATGCAAAAATTATTTTTAAAAATGTGTTGATTCCATTCAAATTGGAATCTGTTCAATTCAAATATATACATTGAGTACATTGGAGGCTGAAAGCTCTGCTATCATACCCATGTTTTATTCACCCTTCTCCATCTGGTTCAAGTCACTCACAAACAAACAAAAAGTAATGTCATACTACTTGGCATGCCCTAAGATTTTCTGCACATAATAAGTATCTCCAATCCTGTCTGGGTGCACACATCTGAACTGAGTTTCCAGATCAGCACAAGCATAGTAATACAGACATGGACAAGAGTTCAAGTAGATCTGTTTCTCTTCATCCACCAGGAAAGAGGCATTGTAGCAAAAGGCGCCCTCTGGCCTCAGTGGCATGCAGTAGGACATCTGGGTGTTCATGGGCCTCACACAGCACTCATAAGTCCCACAGTCCCATTTGCTGTAACAAGTCTTCTTGGACCTGTAGCCCTGATCCCCATATGGAATGATGGAGTTGTCTTCCATAACTGAAACATGAGCAGATGAAAATTGCATCAAATTGTGAATAACTTTTCACAAGGTCAATATATATATCAACCTTGTTCTTTTTTCACATCTTGCCACCAGGTTGGAACAAAGCGTTGGACATTCAGTGGGATTCCAGGTTTGGCATGACACAGGTTCCAGGTGATGACCAGAGATGTCAGCAGCAATATACAAACTGGAAATATGCTCTTGCTTGCTCCAGATGCCATTTTTACCTCCTGTCACAAAGAAAAATTTAAATCATTTGCATACTCATATCAGAATTATTACACTGAATTTTCAAAAATTCAAGAGGACTTCAGCAAAATTCCAGCCAATGACTGTCATGTTTCTCACTTTGATACAGTAACTATCACAATTAATTTACACAATTTGTAATTCTGTTTCCTTTAAACTGGATTAGAAAAATTTCAACCCTTTCTTCAAATAAGAAACCCCCTTAAAATATTTGCAAGAATGAATCCTGCTTTATGTTTTTTTGCAGGAATCTTATTACAAAGATACAAACTCAAGTTTATTTTTTTAGCTGGAAAGTAGGTGATTTTGAATTGCATCCAAACTTAATTTTGTGTTTGGAGTTACTGCTGATGAAATTAATAAAAGTGATTTTTAATATTGAAAAGGAATATTATATTTTGTTGATTGATGGACCAGCATATTTACTCGAGCAATAAAATTCTTCAATATTCTGTAGGAAAGAATGTTTTTACTGACCCTTGAGTGCTGTGAAGACAGGAAAGAAATGAACACCAGTGACTGCTTGAAGGATCCCTCACAGAGAAAGAATATGATGTGTATCCAGATGATGAGGGAAAGAATTTGGCAGTAAATAGCACTGGTCCTGGTGAAATCAAAGGAGCAACTGAAGCCCAGGCAGCAGCAGGCTTCATCAAATACCTATCCCCAAAACACCACCCCCTTCTCCATAGTGTATAATCCCCATCAGGACCCCCCCAGAATGAAATGCAATCCTCAAAGCAGCAGAGAGCTCATCAGGATACATAAACAGGCAAAAGACTTTACACATTCAATCCCCTGCTTTTCTCACATGCAAAGAACAGATTTAGAGAGCACATGACATCATTCCAGTTGGACTGCACCATCACTGCGCACTTTCCAGGCTGCAACAGGGGGGCATCATGATGAGAGACCCTGTGCAAAAAATTTGTGAAATCCCCAGGATCAGCAATCCAGGTTTTTCCCAACCCGAATTCAAAAGCCAGGATTTCATTCTCAAGCAAGGAGTCTACAGACACAAGGGAACCATTTATGTGGAGCTTGTGACAAGCAGCTTTGGCTCCTTGATATGTAAATCCTGTCTGGGAGAGGACGTGTTTGTAGCAAGAGGATTTCAGAGGGTAGGGACGCACCCATGCCTCAGGGCAGGTTCCATCATTATTATTAGTTTCACTCAAGGCCACTTCACACAAGATGGACTCCACTAGAACATCACAGTTTTCCACAGTCCATTGGAAGGGACCTGAGAGGGCAACACAGTCCTCAGCAGGGGCACTGGAGTCATCTGGTTGGTACACTGGAAAGCCTTGCCAGGGTCTTGGCAGCAGTCCTGCAGAATTGTCACCTGAAAATCATGAAATTTCCAGTAAATCAATATGTTTTAAATTTTGGAAAAAACACTCTTCCCAGAGAAAATTTGGTACTTGCCTGTTATCTCAGTACCTCATTCCCAGACTGCACTACCATCCAGACAAATCTTTAGAACGAGTTCATAATCACAACAACCTACCAGAAACTGTGAATTTTATTTTTCCGCATTCTGCTGAAACTGATTTTGGGAGGCAGTTAGGTAAATAGCAGAAACCCAGAGAAAGCAGAAACTGATTTTGGGAGGCGGTTAGGTGAAGTTAGGTTAGGTCAGGTTAAATTAGTCAGAGGGAAGGTACAGAGATAACAGGAAAGTAGGTACTGAGATAACAGGAAAGTACCGAAAATTCTTGCTATGATTTCAGTCTTGCTCTATAAGTGCTTTTCCTTCCAAGGAAAGGAGCAAGGTTTCCCAGGCAATGTTTTCTTATTATTGTTATTTCCTATTGTGCCACTCTATGTTAAAGCATGACTCTCTTACCCATCCAGGTGGTACTATGCTGTTCAACGCTAATCCATTATTGCACTATAGGGTCAAATTGCAAGAACACAACAAATCATATGTTGTTTTCTACATTGAATTTGACATTTTGCATCTCTCTGCATTTCAAATTGCATAGGCAGAGGTCAAATTGAAAGTCAACCTCCCAGAAAATGTGACCATGAAATTTCAGGATGGTCACATCAAATTGTGAGGTACCACCAGTATATGCTCCCATTGCACTGTTGACTATGACAAGTGAAAATGACTTAAAAATCAGACTATTTCTTCACTTGTTTCAGTGAAATGTTTCCAAGACTAGAAAGCATTTGCAATTTCAAATTTACTTGATAATTTCCCTGAAGTCTAACATATATACATACCACTGATTCAGTTTATTTGCTTTGGAATTGACTCAAAGCCCAATGAAAATAATTCTAAGCAGGATGTGTTAGATTATTTATAGCAAGCCATCTTGAAATATCTCTGTTGTCTACAGACTATTGTGCAAGTTTGCATATAAATATATCCTCGTTGCATACTGTGAACATGATGTGTCCATTTCTCTTGGACTCAAGACAACAATATATTCACCAGCACACAAGAAGTGGCCTTCAAGGCTCTTGTCATTCAGGGCTGTCCAATAACCCCCAGCTGCTGATGCATGCAGTCCAACAAAGTTCTGTTCCTCAAGGGAGTCTATGCACACTAAGTTTCCTCTTTGGGATTTGCAGAAACTCTCTGCACCTTCCCAAGTCTGCTTCCTGATATTTCCAGCAGGGAGATGATGTGAGAATAAGTAACACCTTCCAGAGACTTCATCCAGGATCCAATGCTCTGGGCAATCATTTTCCATCTTTTTACATCAAACAATCATGTCAACATGTTGCCAAACAGAACCAGACATTAGACTCTCTTTATCTCACCTGAGATCCAGCCAAAAGTTCAGCTAGTCCAACTGCCAAGGCAACACCAATAATTGACCAAATGGTTTTGAAAACATTTCCTCTCACAGCATGAAAACTCTTTGGAGAAATCATGTTTCACTTTACTCACAGACTGGAAAACCTTCACTGAGCTTCAGCAAGAGCACAACTCTGTAACCAGGAGTGTGTGCTTCCCACTGAAGGTCATGCAGGTGCCAGCACTCGCATTACCCTCAGCAAACTGGCTTAATAATTAATCCATGTTTCCTGTCAGCCAGTGATAATGAAGTATAGATAAGAAATAAGTAGTGAGGGACTGATTCAACAGGTGAGTTTGGGGGAACACTTGATGCATAATGTGTCTGAATAAATTTTTCATGCTGTTGCAAAATTTATTGTTGATTTTAAAATATAATCTTGTTCTCCCAAGAAATATATTTCAGAGCAACATGATTATCAAGGACTCATTTTCCTTAGCAGGGATGAGAAAGTGAATAGATGGTTTGAATGGAAAACAGTGGGATTAAAATACTTATATCAAGTCTCATTCAAAGTAAACTCAGTGAATCACAACATATCATATTGAAAAGTTTCTATGTACACTACAGAAAAGTGAGAATCAGGTGAAGTAAGGCTGAACACAACACAGGAAGAACCTTTCACAAAATACAGGAGAGTCCAGGACTTTGAGATGAATGGACCTCCTCAGGGGATCTTTCAATGACCAAGGATCAGCAGCATGGTGTATCTCATACCTCACTAAAATTGAGTCAGGGTTCCTTGCAATTGTCTCCAACTCATTCCTGGCCATATCAGCTGAATGAAAAACATTTAAAATGATAAACTGAATTACAAACAAATTCAAAACTCAAACTAAAAACCTAATTTGACTTAAAGTATCATACAGTACATTATTTACTTTGCCAGTACAGTCAACCCTTGCACAACATTCTGTTTGGTCAAAATTTTTTCACTTAACGTTCCCAGTTGTAGGCCCAAAAATCCATTTGCTTTACATTCAAAATTCTGCACAACTTTGCAGACAATCCACATCAAACTAATCTTTGGGACATCATTTGAGATTAGTATAATTTGCTATAAAACAAATTATTTCAAAGTTGGTTACTTTTCTTTTAAGAAAACTTGAGCACAGGTGGTACTTTGCAATTCAACGTCACAGAATTCAACCATTCTGTAATTTGACAGTTAAATTTGCTGGGACATTGACTTGCAATTTGATCTGCAAATTAGACAGTGACTAAATGGCCATTGGCTCAACATTTGGGCCCCAATGACTTGCCAATGGCTTTGCAATGCAGGTTGCAATGGCCAAATTATTTTCTGGGAAGAGACTCGACATTTCAAATTCAATGTAGAAAAATTGAATTTGACATTGTCTCACAATTTGACCACTTAGCCATGTGACCCATACCCAGCAACAGATTAGGATCAAATTGCAGGGCACCACCTGTGTAATGTTATCAAATTACTGCATGATACTCACCCTGGACAGTGGTTTCTCCAAAGTCCAGTCCAGACATTTTAGTCCTAGTGTCCAAAAGGGCAGAGTGAGGGGAAACCAAAGGATCACCAACTGACCCACAAAGTAAAACATGCTTGAATTGCCCAAGTGATCCAGCCATGGCCAATGAGTACAGTGCTGTTTGCCTAGGGTCAGGCTTGTCTTTCATAGTCAACTGCATCAAGGCAATTGACTTCTTGTTCACCATGGGAAGAAACATGGCACCTGAACCAATGTACAAAAAAAGAAACTATTCAACACACAACCATCCCAAGACCCCAATAAGAAGCTACCCATGTTCTTTTACCAAATCTCACCACAGGGTTCCCCTTGTAAGTAGCCCCCAGGTGAGGAGAGCATAGTGACAAGAAAGTGTGCAACTGTGGGACAAGTGCCTGGAACTCTTCAGTGATGACTGCAAATCTGGCAATGAGTCCACCCATAGAGTGTCCAACAAAGCTTATCCTTTTTGGAACCTCTGGTTGCAAAGCCACATACTCTTTGACTTGAAGAGCCAATGTGAGACCCAAGGATTCCAAATCTGCATTAGAATCAGTCTGGAGAAAGATTTGAGGAAAGTTATCTGATGCCTTACATGGTTCAAAAAAAGACAAACCTGGGTCCTTGTTGGTATGAAGAAGTCCAAATGGTCACTTCCATGAGGTTGGAGCAGCTCCATAAACACTCTGACCACATTCAAATCATTGCAACTTCCATTTAGTCCATGTACACCAACCACCAAGTGTACATTGCTCCCTTCCACTGGTTTCAGCTGCTGCTTGAGTTTCTTCACAGGTCTGCATAATTTTTATTAAAAAAAGATGCATGAAATCTAAATGCTCACAAAATGAAAGATACAGTGGTAGAGCACAAAGAAATTGCACAACATAAGGTCTGTAAAAACCAAATGTTTGTGGTGCAGTGTTTTACCACTTGCAATGCAATCAAAATAATTATGAAGTACAAATCATAAAACAAACATAGTGCTAAAACAAATTATGTTCACTGCATGTGCTCACTGATAACCCTCATCACTGGTGATTCTCATCACAGCATCAGGAAGGTACTTGTCTTCAAAAATGATGGGGATTTCTCCAGTGCTGCCATCTACCTCAGGACAAGCAACAGGAAACTCAAAGTTAGCAGGGGCTTTTCTAAAGTGCTCTGCAAAGTTGCTTCTGCCTTGAATCCTGCAGTGGGTTACAGACTCTGATTTTTTGTGTATCCTGCCATGGAATAGTCCCCAGTTGAGATAGTCTGACTGAGTGAATTCAAAACCTTTTGTGAGATGCAAATTTTTTAAATAATTGGGAAATGACTGAATTACCCTGGATTGAATGGAATAGTCCTGAAGTTTCTTTTGCAGGGGTGACCAAAACATGAAGGCTTTCATGAAAAGTGTCCACAGTGTTGTGCAATTGGTCCACCTGTTCATGATGTCTCTTTTTTGGTCCTATTAGGAAAAAAAAATTCAACACTACTTTTTGTGGATTATGCAATTAAAAGGATGATTACCATGGAGACCATAGAGATCAAGTCTGCCATTTTACTCTGGGCCTTGAGCACTTCAGAGTCACAACAGGGTGTCTCATGAATTCCCCCAACCCTCCTGTAGCTTGTTGGTGATTTCAGTTCCTGCCTGTGCTTCAAACAACATGATTCATTACCACTATTGTTGTTGCCCAACTTGAGAAACTTTTCAGCATCTGCCAGCAACCCAGATATTACATGAAACAGGACCTTGGATTGGACTGGCATTGATGTGGCAATCATGCTGCAGTGGAAAGTGAATGTAGTGGCAAGAAAGTGGTATGTGTGGAACCAGATCATCCTGCTCTGGTGGAATGGTGTGGTGGGGTGAAAGTTGAGCAACAATCTGCGCCTGGAAGCCAGTGACATCTTCACTTCCTCTTCTAATACTGGCCTCACAGGGGGTTCAGCATACCATAACTTGCACTTGAGCTCTAGAACCATTTTCTCAGCTGACTCCTGTGTCATGACTAATTTTACTCTTTGCACAAAATAAGTATTGCTCATATGGATGATTTACCAAGAATGAAGCGGTGAAGCCAAATTTGAAAACTGTTTTGTGAGGAATGAAGGACTTGTCTGATGTTGCTGCATTGGAAACAGTGAAGATCCTGCTGAGAACTTCTTTTTCCCCAGGAATGGCATGTGCTTCTGGGTCCCAAGAGGAAGTTGCAGCACCAGTGGAGGATGAGAAGGTTTCTGCATAAAAGAGGAATTTATTTTTAAAATATTATAATTGAATATATATTGCAATCAATTAACTCTACTTTGCTCACCAGCAGAAGCTGTTGAGAAGTCTGAGGAAAATCTGGCAGAATGATTGTTTAATTCTTCTGGTAAGCAGACTTCATACAAGTTCACATCAGCTTCTTGTCTGTGTCTGTCACAGAACTCCAAGGATATTCTGTACCATCTGATGAGTATACTCATGATTTGGTCAGTCAACTAAATTGTATTGCCATCAAACTGAAAACTGCTGATTTATTTTATGAGGTCAGAATTTTATTTCCTTTTTAGACATAATATAATTTTTTGCTTTCATACAGTCTTAGACAAAGCTGAGACTATACAAACATTTGTTTGAACTTTGAACACGGAAAAATTCTTTCAAGGTAAGCAGCAGTTGGAACTATTGCTCTTTCTCTAATGTTCTCCATTAAGATTTCAGGTCAAGTTTTGTGATGCCAGATTGTGAAGAGAGCAAAAGCCTGAAAAAATGATTGTTTGCTGGTTAGTCTACTTTCAGGAAATTTCAAGAAAACCTTTTCCTCCACTTACATGATAAGGAATAAGTTTCATGAATATATCATGAGGACATTTAAATTCAAGACAGATACAGTCAACCCCTGCACATAGTGGACCTCCTCCTGCACAATGGACAGCCATCTGCTGGAGGCAGTTCATTGATTCCTCCCACACAATGGACTAAGTCAACCTAACAGACTTGTGTTAGTTTGAAAGTTGATTATGAAAAGTTTTAAAAATTCAATTTTTTAATAATTGAATTTGCATAACAGACTTTTCACAAAACAGACTAGTTGTTGGAAAAATTAAGTCTGTTGTGTGAGGTGGACTGTAATTATAATTATGGATTGTGCTAGGTTGGAATTGCTTCTTCTTTATAGATCATCTTTGCATACTCTCTGTTTCTGTACAGCATATCAGCAGTACACAACCAGTGACATCTAGATGATGAAGATCATTTGTCAAAGTTGCATTAGGTATAGGGTGTGAAAGTGGTCCCTGATGAACAAATATGGCGTACTCACCCAGCACACTGATGACCCAAGCACTTGACATCATCCAATGCCACAAAGAGCTCAAAGTTTGACACACAGAGCTGCTTCCCATCTGCAAAAGCTGCCCTGGCAGTTCTCTCTTTTAGAGACAGGGTTGAGTTGAGAGTGCCTTCAGAGGCTGTGTGGAACCCCTGCTCAGAGAACAAACATCCTTCACTTGAGGATGATGTTGCTGCTGAGGCCATTTAAAAAATTTTCCAGCATTCCAGGATTTTGTGAAGGTTTAAACTCACACTCTTGTTGTTGAGGTGATAAACCTCTAACAGACCCTCTGCTGGGAAGTTTATCCAACCTTCATATCCTCACATGGTCTATCCATCCCCTTTGTGTCTCACAATGCAAGAACTTGAGCATATATCATTAATAATGTGTGACACACAAACTGATGCTTCTGTGAAAGTTTCTCATCACAAACTTCCAAGATGGATTGCTACATGAAAACACAACTTTGATTCCATACTCTCTTCTCTCTTTTAATACCTGCCATAGCCAACATTCATCTCATCCACCAAACTTTTCCCCCAGCAACACCAAAAAAAAAGGACTCTTCTAAGTCATGAAGAGCACAAATGAACAATAAAGCTCTCTCACAACCACTTCTTTTGTTTTTCTTACAAAACATCTTGACACAAATACTTTGAAAACATCCAAGAGCATAAGTAAGAGGAATAACCACAATCTCACTTGATATCTTTCACATCACCATAACAGTACCCATATCAGGTACAGTTATATATGCAAATCAATTTCAGACATGTCATTTCATTTCAGCCACATCTTTTTAAGCATGTCAGATTTAGTTGGAATAAAGTGACATGTCTGGATTATTTGCAGGGCAGCCATCTTGACTGGAGTCACCTCCCCCCTCTTTTTTTCAAAGTAAGTTGAAGTGACTTCAGGCATATAGCATTGATGGAAAACCTGTTGGAAAAACATGCAGGGGGAATTTGGCCCTGGGGCATGTTTGTGCTGTGCAGCAAAAAGCAGCACTCAACCCTCAACATCAAAGTCTGCAGGTGCTGTGCTGGGCCTGGAGAAGTTCCCTGAAGCAGCTTCCAGGATTTGTCTCATTCTCTCCTCATTCTCCTTTCTCACTGCAAAAGGAATAAAAAAAGATAGAAAAGGAAAAAAAAATCAGCCATTTTCAATTACCAAGAAGATGTATATAATGGGGTGTATCTATACACAGTTTCCCTTCCCAAGGAAAAGGATGAACAGAGGCATACAAGCATGCCCTGTTTTCCCCACACCACAGAAAAGAGAGGCAAATGTGGGTCATGGCAATAAGCTCTGAGAGGCTGCTCAAGATACAAAATACCATCAGTGCATGACACCAACCCAAGGCAAGTGATTTCTCCTTTTCCACACATACAGATGTACATTATGTGAGGGCTGGATCTTTGGGACCCCATTTCCCCCTGGGACAAGAATGAAGACAGGGGCATATAGATTAATACATATCTATATATTGCATATATTGCCATGCCCTAAAAGATATGATGACAGCCATGACAACTGACATAAGTGGAAAAGGGCAAAGGGTCAAGAGAGAAATATCACCAAAGCCCATTTCCATTCTAATGTTTCTGCTTTTATGTTCTTATTGAGGCATTCTCAGAGGAAGCCTTACCATAAGCCTTTTGCAGAAAAAACATAAAAAAGCTCATGTTTAAAAAATAATTATGAATATGAGGTATCTGATGATTTCATTAAACTTAAATTATATTTAAAATTTGTCAATACTATAGTGCTATTCCTCCCTGAGGCTTCTGAAGTCCATTAGGTCTCACAAGCACATTTTTGTACATAGGCATAACGTTTACACAAAATATGTAAACAACTGCTATCTATATGTCATTTATGTTGAAATAACATGCACATAATACTGGGAACAGCAAATTTGAAACACAAATTGGCTTGATATTGAGTGATAAAGTCACAGGAAATTTATGAGATTTCAGTTTTGAAAAACTTGATATTTCCTCTATTTTTCATAAACAAGAAATGTGTTAATATATGTCAACAGTTTGTTGAGATAAAATAGGATTGAACCTAATTTTTTTTGTCATGCTTTTTTGAGTTGAACATATATGGAAAGCAAAAATACATGTCCTTTCAGAGCAATAGATTCTCTGGAGATATATTTGCAGACCAGATGTACTGAGGTGTCACTATATATTTCCTGGAAAACTTCACTGCCTGGAAAATAACCCATTGGTTAGAGAAGGTATAATCCATGAAATTCTCAAGAAAAAAAAAGAGATACAAGGAGAGAGTGAATGTAATGGGTATTGAAACAAATGGGTTCCAGGAGCACAGGAGAAAATTTTCCTTGGGGAAAAGAAAAGAAAAAAGGGAGCATATTTCAGACAGAAAGGAAGAAGCATTCCTCAGGTTCATTCTACCTCTCCAAGCCTTTCCTATAGTGGTGTTCTTTCCATTCTTGCCAGAAAATAAAGAAATCCCTGGTGGACAAGTTCCTCTTTTCAGTCAAGTACCCATTGTTCTCTTGCTCAGGATTGCAGAGGAAGTGGGAGAAATGTGTTTGGGCACCACCTTGTGAATATGGATTTCCTCTGGCCCCCTGCCAACCCTGATTTTCTGCCCCATGGCCCTGTTCAGCTCCATGGACTCCTCTCCTTTTTCTCCCATCATTGTCCAAGAAGGCAAATCCCAAATTCCAATACTGAGGGATTCTTTATTTATTTATTTATGTATACCAAGGGGATCTGCTTTCCCTCCATCACAGCAGATCCCAACATTGTCAAAATACATCTGTAAGTAAATCCCTTCCCCAGAGGAATACAGTATTTGCACAGAGGGCCCCATCATGAGGGTCATGTGACATACTCATTAACCTCACCAATATACACTCCTAAGTATATGGTCACATTATAAATATAAATAAAAAATACCACAAAGAGTTCCCCTTTTAAACATCAAGATCCTCATTTTGAAATGAAATTTCAGTCATTGGTCCCCCTGAAAAATCAATCCAAAAACAAATATTTTTATGCCATGTCATTATTTAGGTATTTATTTCTGGTAACTTCCAGAATAATCCCTGAATTTTATGGAGGATCCCAACCACTTTGAGATTGATCTCCACCCAGAAGTAGAACCTTGATCTCAAGTGTGGAAGAATAGTGCTTCTCATGGTCCCTTTCCAATCAAGGCGATTGCTCTGTGCATAGATAAAGCACAGAAGGACTTCACTCTAAAAGAAATGAAACAAAAAAATGGAAGATAAAATCAGGGAAACCTTGCATCCAAATCTTTCCAATTTTGATGTCAGGGCTTTTCTTGGTGTATATATATAGAAATCAAAAAATGGGTGTGAAGGACCAATATTTAAATCCTATAGATATACTTTGTCAAGAAATGCTTCATATCAAAAAAATGAATCAACTGACTTTTGCTTCTCATTCAGGAATTTGAACTTCAAAATCCTGTGATGGTCATTTGTTCTAGCAGTTCAAATTATATAACCCTTAGAAACTCAAAAATAGAAACTGGTTTATTTGGAAATTTTAGGCCAGAAACCTCATATCAGTAGAAAAATATTCCAAATTTTCTTCTGTAAGAACCCTTATTCTTACACCTTGCAAATTTAATTTATAACACCTTGAAATAAACAGCAAGAAAATATAATTTACTGAAGACCTTATTCCATTTGAGCCTATGAAAACCTTCTGGCAACAATGATGAAGATATTCAGTGGGATTATTGGGGGGATTCTATGACTTTAAATTCAAATGCTCTGTGATGTTCACTTTGCACATGTTGTATTCACTTTATTTTTTACTGGAATTTCAAGTTGAGGTTCAGAATAAATGTCAGAAATGAGGTTTCTGGAAAAAAACTTGAGAATCTCTCTCTAATGATGATGGTGATGATAAAGGAGCCCCCAGCAGCAGAGTTCCAAGATGACAAATTGAGGAAATACGAAATGAGTGAATTATAGGAAGATGGCGGTCGCACCCATTTGGTCAATGACAGGCGCCATCTTGAGCGTGACTCCAACCAGAACAAAGCTGAGCACCAGGAGAAACACGGCAGTGAAGACGATGGTGAGGCGGATTTTCCGAGGCATTTCTTCGTCAGGGTCATCGCCGCTGATGCTACTGCGCCGCCATCTTGTGTCCGGCGCTTCTGCGCTGCCACCAGATGTCGCATCTGGTCTCGTTCGCGGCGCTGACTTCGGTTGCAGCTCCCGTGACGTAGATGGCACCACTGAACTCATGCCCTCTCTTCACTCATTCAACCACTACAATTGCTCTTATGTACTGTATACAGGCTCAAGATTATCCACCAAAAAAAAAGGATATGTTTATACTTCAACTGCCTTCAAGGAAGAATAAACAACAGCAAAATAATTCAAATTTTCCAATTTCCAGTCAGATCCAAAATTGTTCAAACTGTCATTGGCACAATTCCCAACACTGAATCATATCATATGTTGAAATAAATAATTGGAGTATCATCTATTAATTCTTGGCTCAGCATCTTCCAATCAAACTGCACATGTATTAAAAACTTCATAATTTTCTTTACCTCTTGAAAAATATTCAGAATTCAACACTGCTGTATTGAGTATTTTTCTACAAGATCAGTAGGGGTTAATAAGAAGGGATGATCATTAATTTCATGTGAAATTTAGCCATAAAAATGGAATAAGATGCAAATTTTCACAAGCAGTCCTTGGAAACATTCCTAAAAGTAATTATTGGCCTGTTGTAATGCTGAAATTATTCATTTTTGTGCATTACATATATTATTTTTTATTTTTCAAATCAAATTTAAGGTAAATCTAAACTTTATTTTCTTTTTGCACATCCTTCTGAAAAATATTCTGAATTTTACCCTGTTTAAGAACTTCTCTTGAAGGAAAGTATATACTTGAAAGGGATGATGACCTTGAAATATTCAAACAAGTACTGCATAAAAATTGAATAAGTACAGCATTGAAACTTTTTTTATCTTGTTAGCCTATAAAATGAGTCATCAGAATTGATCAAACTAAATACAAACACACTGAACATCTTCTTTTCAAAGCAATTTACTTTGTTCTGATACTCCTAAGGACAATGCAAGTCAAGAGATATGAATTCTCATGGCCAATAAGGCAATGTGAGCAAAAGCTTTTCTTGTTTAGTGAGTGCAAATACAAATTTCCCTGTTCCAATATATCAACAATGAATGCTGCCAGCAGAGTATTTGGACAATCCTTATTTGTAGATTCTGAGTTTCAGCCAAGAAAGGTACAGCATGACCAAGCATAAACATAAATGGAACTGGAATGGTCAAAAGGTAAAACCAGATGTCACAAAATGTGGATTTGCCCTGTTGAGCAATACTATTGCTAACTGGACTTGCAAAAGTACAATGAGGAAAAACCAAACAAGAATAAGGTATTGTTGATGTATTTCAGGACACACTTGAATTTTTAGGGTGAAAAACTGAATATTCAATTAAAGGACCAATAAGGGGGAGCAGCATGTATTTCATGTATTCATCATGAAGGCATGGCAAAAAGAACCAGAGATAAAATGCTAATGATTGAGACATTTTTCTTCTTTGAAGCACTCAACTTTGTCCCTTCCTTATGTATGGAAAAGACCAGCAGGAAGAAGCAAGTAATCAAGCCGTCTCTCTGCAGCAGTATATATAGGACCTTGCAATCTGTTCCACTTGGGGAAGTTTCCTCTTCCTTTCATCCCTATACCAAAAGTGCAGCGCAAAATCCCAGAGGGGAAAAGAATTCTACTGAAATTAATCCTCTTATCTGCACTCAGCACACTGCAGCTTGAACATGAATGGAAGAAGGAGAACTATGTTCCAGAACAAGTCAGAGAAGCTCCAGAAGCCAAATCCCAGCTCTGGAGGGGTTTAGATGAGCCTTTTATGCATGGACTATATTTTTGTTAGCAAAAAAATATTCTTGGTAAATTATTCTGGGGAAAATCATAAAGCTGCTTGAAATTCTACAACTGAAACCTTAATTTCTTTGGTTTTGAAGATGTTTTAACGATTTTTGGGGCATACAAATTGATAAAAAAAAAATTAGAACCATTGAATCCTTTTCTGCACCCTTTTGAGCAATGTTTGCTTTGCATCATGTCTTGTTAGAAATTAATTTTGTGTATACTGTACTGACTTTTCTGCATTTCAACTGATATATATTTGTAAGTTCACTAGATCAACTCTTTTTTCAAAATTGTTTTCCAAGCTTTACTTCACTGTATTCTGTTATCCAAAAATAAAATACTTCCAAGATTTATAAAATATTAGACAATATATATTTTTTGATATTCACAACAATATAAAGTACAAAGTCAGGAAATTAAGGAAGTCATGTTAAATTTGCTACAAGGCTTCCTGATAAATAACCATGTCATAAGGTTTGGATAATTTCTGAGGCTTGCTCAGGAAGATCAGAGGTTTATATAAACTTGACAGGAATTGAGGATAAACAAGATTCCTTCAAGTCAAAGGAAATTTGTGAGGTTTTTCTTTGAACCTCATGCATACATTTAATATAACACAGGTGAAATGCGCGCACCAAGAAAAGATACATTCAATCAAAAATATACATATATCCAAGAGGATTTTCCTTTTGGATCCCCACAGTGTCAAAGAAAATCCGTCATAGTGGCATCCGTCACTGTCAGCAATAAAGAGAGGAAAATAGGCGTTTGGCCTTCTGAGGGGAATAGTGTCATGCATTAATGCAGACATTGTTTTGCATAGGAGAAAAACAAGGAACAGCTGCAGGGGGAGAAAATCACCGCTTGTTCCTGGAAGGAAATAAAATGGGTAATTCTTCCTTGTATAGAGAACCTTGCAACAAGTACAAGTGTCTGGGTGAACAAATCATTTTCCCATTTCCCAGGTCATAGGAGTGATAGTAAAAAAAAGACCCATTGAATGACTGAAATTAGATTGAATTTCCAGCATAATGGAATAAAGAATAATCTGCGGAGCACTTTTTCTAAAGAAGTGCAATTTATTTTACCTTCTTGTGCTGCTGAGTGTCCATTACCTGTATATATACAGTGGCTAATTAATCTGCCCATCTGCTGGAAAGTCAAGTTATCTTGGGTGTATTAGCAGAAGTGCTTCTTCATGTCTGTCTCATTTACTTACGCTGAGTGCTGGTATATATACATTTTTCATTGCTGAACTATCATGGGTTCTACATTATCTGCTAGTAAGATAGGATTTGAAGCAATGGAGCAATAACGTGGCTTGTATGTGATATATGTGGAAAGTTCTCTTGAGAGAAGTGTGCAATGTATATGATGGTATGACATTAAGGAAAATGAAGGACAATGTTTTTGTTGGGCATTTTTAGTGAGACTGACTTCTTTACTCATCATTCAGCATCAAATTTTCCTGAAGCAACAATCAGATCACAGAAGGAAACCAGACCAAAGATACAACTTAAATGAGCAGTTTGCTTCAGAGTTCAGACAAAACTGTGGCATTTATTTCTGATTCAAGCACAATAGCTTTGAGAAAATTGAGATAAAACACATTTGAAGCTGTCTAAAGAAAGAAAACTCAAGAAGCTTTCAAACTGTTCCCTGCTGGTATCTGGTTTAAAATATACAGTGTATATCAATGAATGCAATCATTCTTATACAGACCTTTTT